GCAGTTTAGCGTAATTACGGTAGCGAACTTCGAGCGGAGCACACTCGAGAGAAAGTATTTCTAGAATTTCCGCGGGCGCGTGTTAAGAATCGGTTAACGTCGCGGAAAACCGGGAAACGCTAAGCAACACCGCGATCGGGGATACACTTGGAGGCAGGTTCATTGACGCGCGAGCTAACATAATGGAAAACCCTTGAATTTCACCCCGGCTGGTAAATGTCAAAGGGGTTGGGCCTGGTGCGTTATGGAGCATTTATCGTATTGCCGGCGTCTCGTTACCATAGAATCGGCCGCGCGTTTCTAACCGGGGACCGTTTGCAAACCGTATATGCATGCCTTCCATCACGCATGCCGCGTACTCGCGTTATCTACCTCATCGAAATTTAGCTCAAACCGTAATTATACATACGCGCCACGACGCGTTCTATTTGTACGAGATAATTAACATTAATTTCATTATACAGGCCCGTTTCTGAAGCAGACATAATGAATAATTAATGGGGGCGTATTAATGTTATCTTGCATTTATCGTAATTTCTTTTTCTCATTGTTACGACTTTTGTTATATACGTGCAGTGTGCGCCTTGCGATGAAAAATCTGATCGATTTCAGCGCATACTTCGTACATTGTACGAGCTGCTGTAACGGCGAAATAAATTAGCCAAATGTAATTGGAAATATTTTTCGTATACGTTATCAAGGGCCGGGATTATACGTAAGGGCATTGTGTGCGAGTTATTGATAAAATTTTTTTAGAAAGCCCTATATGAATAGTATTATTTTATGAACTTCCTTCGTTATAACGATGGCTACAGTAGTTTGAATGTTAATCTGAATGTTTGTTCGTAATTCCATATATGTTTTTGTAGAGAAAATCGATAATACAAAAGCGAAAAAAAAAATCATCTTTTACGGACAATTTAACATTTATTTAAATATTTGTTGTGCTTATTTATTCAAGATTAATTTTTTTATACCTGTATCTCGGGCACATTTTTTTTTTCACATCGATGTAATTAGTGCAAAACAAATCAGTGTCAATTTTGCTGAAACGAGTCCTGCAAAAGAGAAAGCTACGGAGTTTAACGTCGTTCCCGTTGACAAATTACTCGCAATAACTCTATTCTACTACGCGCTAGCGGCAATTGAAAAATGGATTCGCTCCGATACCGAGACGTCGATTGATGCCGCCGTATCAAGATTCGACATGCAGGTCGTGCATGTGCATCTCGCGATTGCCTTAACCCAGAAGAAGCGCCGCGCCAAATTAACCCGCGATGAATTATCAGCCGGCGGTATCGCCTGCGCATAATTATTGCCTCATCGGCCGGACGGACACCGCGCATTACCGGTTGCAATCGGTAGAAATTTATTTACGCTGGGAACACGGGGAACGCGCCGACCGTTCAGTAATAAACGGCTGCCGCGACCGCGTGCATTTTCCCGTGGCAGTAATTGAAAATCGTCCCCGCGTGCCGCGGCTCGCGCGCGCGCGCGCGCGCACGCCCGGCATCGGAAAGATCGATCGCGCGCCGATCACGATTCCGACTCCGGGATCCACTATCGACCGTCGCGATCTTCTTACCAATTAGTTTCCTTGCCATAACCGATAATTACGCGCTGCCTCTGCGACGACCCAGCGCGATCAGATCCGCGTTTGCCGGACAAGGAAAGGGGAGAGGATACTCTCGATCTTTTGCAACGATATGATCGATCGATTTTCCAATCGCCGGCGAAGGTCAGCGCGGCGCATCTCGCCGCTGTACCCGTGAATCGTGACGCATCGAGGTTTCGTTCACCGGGATCACATCAGGTGTGCGGAACGCGGCAACTCTCAATGTGTGATATATATAACAATGCATATATCTCTTGTACATATACTAAATGTACTCTAGTAAATTTCTAAATTGAGTATATCTAAAAGTACGATAGTTTATTATGCTCTAACATTTTATGGTTGAAAATCAATATAAACCTTTTATCTTCAGGATCCGCGATAACAAGCTTAATTGATTGATTGATTTATCGACGAGAAAAATCAGTTTTTCTTGAGGATGGATTTCTTTGTAATGTACGAACGAAAGATGAACGCGGATCTTTAACCATCGTTTGACATATCCTCGACGGAGGTATGTAATCAAAGAAATTTCTTTGTACAACATAAGTTGTTTCTTCGTTTCGGATTGACGATAATAATGATTACCTTTTTTTTCGCGGTGGATGATAGATTGGATCATTTCTTCTCCAAGTGGCTATATATTTTTATTTCTGCTTGGGGAAAACATAAATAATCTCGAAATTCTCGATCATAGAAATTACTATACTCTCGATTTTTCGCAGAATTACAAGCACGCGTGGCCTTAACAGTCACTCTCTCGGTGTATCTGTGATTGATCTACGTTTCTCGTGAGAGAAAAATTAAAAGAAGCAGACGTCCTTAAGATTCATTCAGCGTGCCTCTCTCCGGGTACTTCGCACCCTTTCTCCGCGAGAAAGGAGAACGGCTAGGTCGAAAAATTAATAGCTAGCGTCCGCTCACGCCGCGTTTAATCCTATTGGGAATGTTTAGTGGCAGATACAGTACATTATATGACAATTACATGCATCGACATTTAAGTTGATATGGACATTTATTAACCGATGAACAAACAAGTAAATATTGCTTGATGAAAATTACAACGCAACGTTCCGTGAGCGATGTAATTCTGTCTTGATTAATACATTAATCAATTAAGCGGTTAATTAATCCCGATACACTACATATACATATACATACATATCTCGCTCTAATATTATCGAGAGCTGATTAATGGCGTACATGATATTGTGATACTCGTATGAACTTGGAGAGATACTCGCATTTTAGTTTAAACAGAACTATTGCGTATATTCCGTTGAGATCGTTACATTAGTCACGGACATTTTATATGAAATCGCAGAAAGTGTCAATAAAAAATCGAATTGTTATCGAGAAAAAAAATTGTCTCGAAAACTAATATAGGTATGTGTATCTATATATATAGTTGTCGAATGCACTTCTTATATTTTGTGGTATGCAAAATTTCTTATAAAAGCGGTGTGTGTATTTCTTTGACGATATTATACGAAACAGGAACAAAAATAACTCGTTAATCCACGAGGCGTCCTTGATGCGCCTCCAATGCACCTGCGGGAGTTGCACGGCGAGAGGGTCGATGCGAGCAGGTGCAAACGACCTTCGCGATCGTTTCAACCTCCCCGACCCTCCCCTGCGGAATTTTCAAGTGTTTTTGACCGCGGCGCCCGGTGCAGGTGCAGTGTCATTCCGGGCGGAAAGATATCGGGCTAACGGCACCGCGGACACGCATAACCGTATAATCGAGATTTCATGGCTGATTCGTGCTCATTAGCGGCGCTACCGATGCTGATTAAACGGCAATTGCGGCCGGCCGATCGAAAATCGTCGCGAAATTTCATATTGTGCATACTATTTCCATACCTGGCAAGCAATATTCAACCTTCCGTATGTTATTAAGTATTCTTAAGTTATTGCAATGCTTGCGGTTAATGCTTAATAATTAATTTGAATTTTTTAATCTCTTATATGAATCGGCGTCCAACAACTTCGGGGGGAATATTTTTTGCCGCCTTTGGTTTTACGAACCTGTTAAAAATGATTCGATCGAAATTTTAGTTTTTCTTTTTCGACACAGATTTACGTATAGCGAATATCTAAACGGTGCAATCTGTTTTTCGAACGGAGAATGAGCGCATTACCTCATTTACTCTTTTTTTCCCCGTATCTATTTCAACGTTGTTTTAATGTCTTGTAACAGCCACGGAAAATTGCCATATCTACGTCACAGATCGACGTGCATTCGCGCGAAAACGTTGACGCAAAATAAAAACGTATGCGGGCAACAACAAAAAAAATTGTACGGTATTAAGTGTCGGTGGAATCATAATAACAGTGATGACACGATTGCAGCCGATAAAAACAAGCGATAAAGAAAGAGGGGAATCTGCGAAAGAAGGCCGCCTCTCACCTGCGTGCGCGCGTTTCTAACGAGCTTTCTGCTGTGGAAGTCTCTCGCAAGAGTGACTAATAAGAAATTTTTAATCTTCGCCTCGGCGAGAGATATCGGTGACTTCTGAACTGGCATTTAGACACTTGTTAAATTGACATCAGCTACCGGCTGTACGCGGTTTTATCGTCTTTCGAGCTTGGCAGGCTCTTTTAATGCTTCGGTAGATCGAATCGTTTAATTATCCCGTCGCTCAGGTGATACAACGTAGGTGATACAACGTTTAAACTTAGTCCAAGATCAAGTTATAAATACCTATTGAATGATACATTAGAGCTGTATACCTTTTACCTTTTATGTTTACTAATGTCAGGCACGATTCGCGTTTTCCTATAAATCGCGAACATTGTTCCGCGCCGCGGATCCGGTACGATATCGATACACGGTTGCGTAATCGCAGTAATAAATAGTAAATGCCGTGGGATATATCTTATTGATATCGCTTGCGTGCTGTGCGAATGTAATCCGAAGTTTCTAAATCTGACTGAACGACAAGATTTTCCATCTTCTCCTGTAATATTCTTTGAAAAGTTATAAAAAATCATTCAAGTGAAATTCGTAGAAAGCTATAATATCGACGTAGATGATTACGCTATATCTAATTTATTATTTATTTGCAAAATTAGTTATTAATAGTAATAATAATCACTGTGTTGGCAATATCAATTGTTCTTCAAGATCGCATGAGTTTATCACAAATAGTAGTTTTAATATTGTCAAGACCGGCTGGGAAATTCGGTGGCAGGAGCAAAAGCGTCGTCGAAAGCGCTCAGCGGCCGCCGACATTTTCGCATGCCGGCCGACACCCCTCTCGCGACGGGCTTTCTTTGAGACAGCCCTGAGGCACAGTAAATTGCGCGCGCAGCACAGTTTGAAATTCGTGGCGCGCAGCGGAGATCCTTGGGGGTTGCGTTTCCTCTCTCGCCTTTCGTTCCACGTCCGTTCGTTCGTTGGGTTCGTTCGCTCTCGCACCGTTCGGCTCCGGTCGTGGAAGTCGATGCTAAGGTCGGAGTGCTGTCGCGCGAGAAGGGAGTGCCGGGCGCCTGTCTCGCCGCCCTCCCGGTCCTCGCAGTGATCCCGAATTTCCTCGCAAGCACACGCGCTTGCCGCTCGAGGATGACGCTCCCGAGTATGGTCTCGCCCGTCTGGTACGCCCGGCATTATTCGCGATCGAAGACGCTGGATCCTTGATTGAATCCACGATTTGCAAAACAAAAAAAAAACGATAAATCAAGACCTCGCCCTTGGAAGATTTTCGATATTTCATCGTTGTCGCGGAAATATTCCTGTGTGCGACAAAGTGCCTCGTCTCTCAGTGGCAGCGAGTACATAGAAGCTTCTATCGATTGCCAAGTGGATTTAAACAGCTGCGTGTGTAATCGCTAATAAACGTCTCATAGGAGCCTTCTTCATTACCTCCTCGTTTAATCGTATAATCGTACGGTATATTTCATCGTATAAACGAAGGGAATTTTCTCTATTTATGACACTGGACAATTGCCCTCTTGATTGATCAAGCGACATTGATCGGATATCGTCGCGATAAAACGAGTTCACGCCTTTAAAGATCCTGCACAGAGAGAACGAAAGAGGGATATCTCCTTGACATTATGGCGAGACGCACAAGGAGCCGGTAGTTCGTGGTTGGCAGGGATGTCCTCGTGACATGTTACCCCGTGACCTTGGCTGGCGCAACTACAACGTCCTCCGTGGCGAGGGTCGTCTTTTGGTGCGCGGGTCAAGCGGCAATACAAACGGGCGATCGGTGTCCTTTAATCCACGCGAGATCGAGTATCGCCTGCTGCCGCTGGTGCAGGTCAAGCCTGACTTCGTGATTCCATATGTGCTCTGCTGGCGGGTGCCAGGCGCAATACATCGCATCCAGATTAATCCGTCGGTCGTCCATCATCATCACCAGCAGCAGCAGCAACAGCAGCATCAACAATCGCAGCATCACTATCAACAACAGCATCGTCAGCGTCGACGACACTTTGAAGGAGCGCCGCGGGCACGTCCTACGCCACCGCCTTCGGAACATCGTTTTACGTACGGCGCGCAGCGTGACATCCTTGCGGATTCTGGTATGGAAACAAGGTGAGTGTGCTCCCGGAGACATCGAGGAACCGCGCGAGAGATTCTGAGGTCTGCGGCTTTCATGGGTGTGTCGCTTGTTTGGATTTCATGGCTTCGACGTGACGAATTTTCGTTTAATTACCTCGACCTTCAAAGACGGATCGTTCCGGCGTTATATTATGTAATTAAAGAATTATAATCTTTTACTTTTTAAAAACAAATCTCAGAAGAGTGAATGCTTTTTAAGCGAATTTATGTCACTAATATAAGCTCATTTCATTATTATTATTATGAAAAAAAATCAAATGTGTATATATCACAAAAGTTATTCGCGAAACAAAATATCGATTATTTTATTATATTTTAATTAGAACGGTATTTATACAACGATAATATCAAAGTTTCTCTACATTTTAACATTAGAGTTTATTCTTTTTTTTAATCAAGATATATTCATAACCAGACACGCACATGCGCGTGACAGAGAATTAAATTTCAACTTTTGTTGATAGTACGATACATTAATGATAATAGTTATACCTTTTAGTAATTTTTATTGAAACCATACGTTTTTCTAATGGGAATACGTTCAGGTACGGATAGACGTACAGCAATAGATAAACTTCGCCGCCATCATAATGCGGCCATAGCCTTTTCGGACACGCGATGCGTCAGTTCATTGCCCCTCCTCGTATCTTTGTGGCGCACCCTCGTCCACGTATATACGACAGCGAAATAGAAACATTTCGTCGTCACCTCGACGGCGGTAAGCTGACACTGTGCCAGGTGTTCCTACAATAGCAAAGTCTATTTCGCCGATTAGCATATCGCGCATACAGTTAACATTGCACTCGCGCGGTACTGCACGGCTTATCGGATGTTCATTGTGCAATTATATCACATTCGACATGAGCGGCAGCTGATTCTGGCATTGGTAATCTACGGGATTATAATTCTGCTTCTGAATTTATGGGATAAATTGCGCAATTTGCAAGAAGAAGTCCCCCCCCCCCTTCCACGTCGCGAGAAGATTTAAAAAATAAGCGCGACGTGGCGCGATGTTAATGCAACGATGGCGAATCACAATGATCTCATGCCGAGATATTCTTCTCTTTATTTACCTCCTGAAAGAAGAGAGAAAAAAGAGCGGTGAACGCCCTGTCTACTGTCGCGAGCAGCTCCTTTCGAGTCTACCTCCCGCTGCCACTGACAAGCCTTAACCAACACATTTTCCTACGAAAATCTGAGATTGTTATATACCCCGCGCGATGCAAATAAGCGCGTACGGCTTTGTAACATGTGACATTACATTATGGAAACACGAAAGAGGAGGAATATAGTGTGCTGTAACTTTGACACATTGCGTCTCTAATATATTTTAATTATCCATACGATGGCGCGCTTCTCGGTGTAAATTTCACGCGTCGCGTCGCGTCCGAAACAAAGGACCCGAATTCTATTCAACGGAGGAAATCGAGGAACGTAAAATTTTACATTCGATATTAACTCTGTCACGTCACACACGCGAGTCGATTCCCCGCAAGTGCGCAGGGACATTTGTCACGATGCAAATGTATCCTCATTGGCCGGGGACGTGTAACGCGAGATTGCCCGTCAAATCCCAGAAGCATTGCGTATCTTCGGTTCGCCGCGGGGCTCTTTTATAAGTCCGGAATAAAAAGGTCGACGGACGATCGCTCGTAAAAACCGCACTCGGACAGCGGAAAAAAAAATTGCGAAAAGAGGAGGATTTTGTGCTGACCGTTCACGACAAGCCATTTCCGCTGGGCCAGCGACTTCCTTTTGCGTAAAAAAAAAAAAAATAGCTTTGTAAAGCTCGAATATTATCACAATGTTCTTTATAAGATTTTACCCCCGCAGTGGATGCACGATAAAAGTGTCGATCAATCGCACGTCGACTGTTTCTCGATATGTAACCCTTATTAAAACTTCGCGAGACTCGAAAGTTAAACACTTTACGTAAGGATTATATTTTATTCCGGGAGAGCATTTTCATTGGTTCGTAACGTTGTTACCGTTCATAGTTCTTCGATTCGCTACTATAGAGTATGAAGAAATATTTATCGGTCGTATTTTTCTAGCGTCCGCTCGTACATACTAGGCCATAGAGTCGTTCCCAAGTGACACAAATTGTTCACATCGACATTATAAAAAATGCAAAGAGCAAATGTCGCTCTGCAATGGTCGACGAAAGAGTTGTTATCCATTCATTAAAATTAATGTATTGTCACTATACAATGCTGAATACAGGTACATCATGTTACGCGACATGTAAGTACTTTTTTTCTGACTTTATTTAACGTCTTGTATGACGAATAAAAAGAAACATAAATTTACTATTTTTTCCCCCATATTAAGAAAATTTAATATGTAAAATGTATAGATATTTTAAAATAAAATATTTTAATGAAAAATATATGTTTTATAAATGTAATATCTCTAATGGTCAGAAAAATCATTTTATTTCTAATTTTATTTGTAAAGAGGAGCATATGAAAACTTAACATAGACAGTTTGCATTTCTTGCTCTTTGATATTTGCTTCAATTTTTAAGATCTTGCTTGTTTTCATCATTTAAATCTTTTGAACCTTGAAGTAGAATCTTATTACTTTCGTACATTATTGCTACAGAATCATGAATTGCTTCAGAAAATTACATACAGTCATAGAAAAAACCTATAAATAGTAGTTGCGATTTATTTAAATTTTGAATACATATATAAAATTTGTAACGTCGAGATTGACATTGTAATAAAAAATTATGTAAAACCAAATTATAGAAAGTTAAACTATGATCCAGGTAACAAAATAATATCAATTCCAATTTATACAAATGAATGTGTCACTACTTTAAAGTTTTTATTCTATATTTTATTACTACAGATTTTATAAGATTTGTGCAAATAAACCTCTTCGCAAAAGTATATGAAGAGTAGTGATGGCAAATTGAAATGGTTTCAAGAACACAGTTAATTACTCGTACATTGAAGGAAATGAAATTATGGAGGAGAATCTTGTTTTTCGATATTTAGCGAATGTGAAATATGAATAACAAGTCCAATAAATTATTCCAAAATAATACACAATAATGATGCTTCTTGCCATCGCGTATAATTTCTTGCGACACTGAAGTCAAATTTTAATTTTTATTTAATTTTTTACGGGTGTCTTCACGCGTTACGAAAAAAAAGATTGATACCACCATCGCAATTGAAACTGCAAAGTTCACGAAAATAACAGTCGTTATCGATTCGTCGACCATGTGTTACATACCACTGGTCTATACATATGTAGTCGTTATCGCTCTCTTAAAGTGATTCACGTTTTATCTAGATAAACGGAGGAGAGAAAGGGAGGAAGAGGAAGAGAGAGAAGAGACGTAGGGGAAGAGAAGTAACGCAGTAAATTCGGAACATAAAGAGGAGAGATTCTATAATTCTGTATCTCTTTTTTAGCAAAACGAGTTCCTTTATCTTTACCGTTTTGACCAGGAAATACATTAACTGTAAGGAGAAAATCTTGATCGCTGCAGGAAACAGGTTATTCTTTCTACAATGTAATTAATAGCAAATCGCTATCAGTTTCTTTTTTCACAACATATGTACCGTTTTCTCTATAATATGATAAAACGCGTCTATCTGATGTCATATCTTAATATTGAATTAGTTTAGAGTGTATTATCAGTTTCATGCAGGTAAACAGCATAAGTCGATAAGAGACGGGGGAAATTGTCGCGACGGAAGCGAACTTTCTCGATCAGCTGAGATCGTTGCACTATAATTAATATTCGTTGTTGGAAATTTCAACTGAATTCCGCTATGCGCAACCTTTCAAGCAAATACATTGCGATTATGCGTTATTATTCCTGCAATTAGAATTTTATTAGAGGCACCATAAAATGATTTTATGATTACACAGGCGGTTTTTAAAAGTCACGAAGCTTTATTACAAAACAGCACAATGATTTCCCCCTTTTTTTACATTTATATTGGCGCAACGTATAATTTATTAAGTCTCTTTCGGCGGGACCACAATTTGCGTTTAGATATATTATTAAATCTTGGACAAATGAGCTAGCATTCATATTGGACGAGAAGATCGACCGAACGTTATTATATAGGCGTCACATATCATCGGGAGTTCGCGAAAGAGTGAGAGATCTTCTTCGTCCTGAAAATCCTGACGAACGATCGCGGGGACGAAGAGGGCTCGCAAAAGTTTCTAAAGACGGTTTGTCTAGAACAAAAAAGAAAATGACGCGGTGTTATACCCCCAACACATCCCGAGATCTCTCTCTTTCTCCCGCTCGCCCCGATATGTCCGGCGATAAAAACCCCTCGTATTCCCCGGGACTTTCCCGGGTTACACAAGCCATCAGAAACTATTCCATAAAAGGGAATAACGGACAAGTATGAGGAAAAGAGAGGGGGGGGGGCGAGGGTAGCTCGTCGCGCGCCGTGACGTTAGATTTAATTTAAGCGTCGGGCGTCGCGTCGGTTCGAATCTTCAGCGTCTTCGCCGATGCCGCATTGGCCACATTCTCGCCGACTTCTTCCGGTTGATACCAATGGCGGCAACGTGCGACGAATCTTAGGAACGGAAAGAAGCTCGTATCGTGTGACTTGAGTTTGTCTCCATTAAGGATATAAAATGCTTGCCACGCCGACTACGGCTTGTGCACAACGAGGACGGATTGAATATGTGCATGAAATTGTCTCCTCAATCCTTTTATCATTATATTGTTTTTATGGTACTAGTGTTGTAATTATTTCTCTAAAATTTATATTGATTTTACATGCTGAGCTCTTTCATTATTGATACAATTTCATTATTGATCTCTTGAACCTTTCTCTCTCTCTCTCTCTCTCTCTCTCTAGCGATCTTTTTCACGAATATCGCAGGGATCGTTCGCACGATTTTTATAATCTTACCAAATGGCCGACTATATTTTCTATGACTATATTTCCTATTTCGTATTTCGCGTATTGACGAAGATCTCG